GTCCAGTGGCTTTTATTTACAAGAACAAATATCGGTTTCCTTCGTTACTAACGCATTCTATTTCTTACATTACGTTTTGCCAGTATGCACTGGCCTTAATTTGTAATGCGCCTAAACGATTTCCAAAGAGCAATATTTATCAGTGCAAAAGTTTCAGGAAACCCTAGTCTTTATATATATATAGATATAGATATGTATATTTACCACTGCGTATACATACATATATACGGAGAGAGCTATAAATGCTGCTTTAGCAGACCACAAAGCAGTTGCCAGGCAGAGAACTGCGAACCCATGAGCAAGCAGCTGACAAAGCGCAGGTATGCGAGTGTCGCAGTCATCAAGAGGTTCTGGAGGTTTCTTGGTTTGTGTTTGAGATGAGGACAGGTGGAAGGGGAGGCGAGAAAGAGGAACTACACAGAAGCAAAAATTAAAAAAGAAGAACGAGAAAGTAAGGAGGAGTTGGAGCAAACGGGGCTCAGTAAGGTAAAGGAGGCTGGTTAGAAACTGTGCGGTTCCTGTGGAGGATGAGGCAGGGATTTACTGACTCCGTGGAAGGCTAATGTCAAACTGGTTATTCTTCAGGTAAAACAAACAAAATAATCAGAGGAGAATAAAGAGTTCACTGAAATGTGAGAATGGCCAATTCTTTAAGAGGTGAAGTGTTGAATCTATACAAAAATGTAAGTGTCTTAAACACCACTAGCACTTTCCTTAACCAGACAAAACCCTTTCACTGCACGCTCAATCTATTTAAAAAAGCCTTTTTATTTATTTTTTTTTCTTCAAGCTGCTGTACCTTGGAAGGGAGTATCCCAAAGGAGCTGACTACTTTAGAAGGCGTTTGAAAGCATCTTTTCTCAAAAATAAAGATGAGAAAGATCCTGAAAAAATTAAGCAGCTAATTGCACGAGGAGAATTTGTTATAAAAGAGCTGGAGGCTTTGTACTTTCTCAGAAAATACAGAGCTCTGAAACAGCGCTACTACAGTGATGATGATCAGTAACTGGTATTAATGACTTTGCATGTAACAATAAAAAATCCTTCAAAATAAAGAATAAAAGAGCTGTAACCTCAGAAGAAATGAAACATAAATCCTTCCAACCCATCCAAATTAAGTCTTTGCTTCCCCTTAAGTAGTCACTTGAAGGATTCAGGGTTGCATTATGTGGGTAATATGCTTTTCTCGGCTACTTTTGACCTCCTTGAACTAAAACATCATGTATGAAATAATTTTGCAGGAAATAGTGGTAATCTGGTTCTGTTTCACTTTGATATGCATGTTGAACAGATAGCTCTTCTTACCCTTACCTGCGCGTCTGAAGGCAGATTCAAGGCACTACACTTCTCGTTACTTAAAGATTAACCTGATTTTGAAAGTTTTTTACATTTAATCATTTTTACTGTAAATGCACACCTTCTCAAAAGTAAAGTAAATTCTTGAAGATCTTAACTACATCTGCTTAAGGTGCAGGAGTCACATTTGCAGGCTGGCAGAGGCACTGTTACTGTGTTAGAAAGACAGGCCAGGGGCAGGAAAGGGGTGAATTTGAACAGTAGTGGTTTAAGCACTTTGACCCTGAAGACAATTCCTGCTACTACTGATTTCCAATGTTGTGCAGCTGCTGTAGCAGGAGTACAGAACTCGATCCTTTCCCCTGGAAGAGAAGTTTGACCTTGGATGTGTGCTCCACAGCTGACTCTGTAGGCCTTGGCTCAACTAGCACCAACCTGTGCCAGAACTGATCCTCCGTACACACCAGGGTTGGTTGGTGTTTCTGTCCCCTAAGAACTAAATTACACTGGAGATACAGCAGAAAGAGTATCTGGGATATAAGTAAGTGAGCACTGCAGTAGAACTGTTGGCAATAGCAAGCCCTCACGCACATAAATTACAGAATAGAATAAAAACTAAAGTGATTGCAAATGAGACAGTGCACTCACTACCTTGTGATGAAATGCACACGCTCCAGTTTCTAGCAGCACAGTGATGTGAAAACCAGTCCTTCAACTCCTACAATAAATATGTTGCAGTTAAACCTATTCTGAACAAATACCTCTCTGTATAAAATTGACCCTACCCTTCTCAATAACTGATATAAGATTATCCGGACATGATAACACAGGGCCAAAGCATACATTTATAGAATAGTAGCGGTTTCACACTTTATTCCCGCCAGAAGACAGAGCCAGTACTGAAGAGCAACTTTCGTATTTTCTGTGAGTTTATGGAGGGAACCTGACAGAAGAAAACAAACGAGCACCTGGTCATGAACACAGAGTGGCTATTCAGAGTATTTTAAACTTGTAGCCTAATTCACATCAAGTCTTGATGAAAACAGGGATGAAAACAAGGTCTCTGGGCATGACTGAAGATGGTGCAGCCCAGGCAGCAAACACCAGGGAGGGAGAAGCACAACCACACACATTTTGCCATAGTGTGGCACCCCCTCTCAGGGGAAGGGAGCACCAGTGGGCAAGGACATCAGCTTTGTGACAGGCAAGGAGATGTAGAAGAAATACACAGAGAGCAGCTGCCAGACGCCTGCAGTTCATGGGATCCTCCACTGCAGAGATGAGGCGCTGAAATTCTTGGAGAGAAAAAGGAAACTAAGACAGAAACTCACAATAACTATTTTTTATTACATTACAATAAATAGGAGCAGTACAGTTTGACAAAAAAATGACAAATTCCAGATCACCTCACAGCACATACTCCTAAAAACATTAAAAATTTTAAAACAGTGGTCTTTTTTTTTTTTTCCTTTTTTTTTTTTTCTTTTAACTTAATGTCTGGTATGACCGACATTCCTAGGTCACGCAACCAAATGATGGAAAAACTGGATCACACTGCATATGTTCCACATCAAATAAAGCACAATGTACAAAATGTGCATGTTTCAGTTTACACTATACAAAAATAGTTAAAATACATTCCAGGTAAACATATTACATTAAGAAGTCATTCTAGTAAGAAGTTGGCACTCAAGAGGAAAAAGCAGAAGTATTTTCAACATGAAAACACAAGACAGTGGAATAAAGAAATGTTAGGAAAGATTTACCATCTATGTAGCTTTATGTAAACTTGAGACAAAATGATTTGTTTACAGTCTGATGGTCTTTGAAGGTAATAATTGTATTGCTTCATAGTACAGACAAGAGCAGAAGATTGTGTGTCAGTATTTACCCATTATAGAGATCCCATTACTGTAACAAAATCTATACAGTGAGGGGTTTTTTTTTTTAAGTTAGCAAAAATTTTAGGGCGATAAGACTGGTCAAAATAATTAAATTTCCATTTTGAGAAAAATCAATGATAACCAGTTACATAAAGCTACTGTAAGAAGGCGTTACTCCCTGACATATGGCAATTTAATGTATTAACGTGGTAAGCGATTCACATGTTCATTTAGGAGTTGCTATCAGAGCAGACAGCATCCAGGTATGTTCTTTGAAAGCATTTCAAATAGGAAAAGACAGAATAATTATGAGATCAACTTGTGCAAGCAGCAATCCCACATGCTTCACCAAATCTCAGCAAATCTTAAGACAAAACTGCACAACAGTGGCAAGGATGCGTATTTTTCTTTTATTTTTTTTAAGTAAATAAGGGCTTATCGAAGTAGGTTTTGTATTAATCAGTTTGGGAGCTGCAGATCACATTTACTAAAAAAAACCCCACTTATTTTATATATAGCTTTATATTAGAGCTATAGAAATCCACATTTGATGATTCAGACATTGCAGCTGAAAATTACCCTAACAGTTTTTAGTTAAATTAACCTAAGAATTTTAGACCAGCCCTAATTTTACATGCAGTGTGACTCAGTTACCAAAAATCTTAAAGTAACCTTAAGATTACTTCCATTTGCTCAAGGTATACCATCCACTTTTGATCATATATGAAGGTGTCTAAACCACACAAGTAACTGTCTCCAAAGTGTTTTAACCTTGGAAGCTCTCAAATGTTTTCTGACATTAACAATCTGATCTTAATGGGGATTTTTTTCCCTCCATAGAAGCAAAATAATGCTTTTCTCATGCAGTTGCACCTTTGACATCCTGTAAATGGTGCAAGTTACACAGGTGTATGAAAACTGTACCATGTAAATCTTCCACACAATAGTTTAGATATACCTTAGGGGTCAGGGCAGTGCTGCTATTCCCTGTCCCAAACTTTCCAGTCTCCTGAACTATCCTACTCCAGGGTCTGATGGTTTATTTTTTGGGATACACCAGAGTCACGTTTTCTAATTTTGCAGTTGAGTTGGGTACTATGAAGAAGGTACCTTCAGTATTAATGAAACAAACAACACAACGTTTACGGTGAGACAACGGGAACTGGCGACACTGGAATTACTGGCTCTTACTTCAGTGCAGAATAACTAGACTACTGCAGTACCCAAAAATGACAGCTTCTGCACAAATTCTGCATTAATTCCATTCAGGAAAAAGGGGGGGGGAAGAAAAATCACAAGAGAACTTAAATCACAGGGAAAAACAACATTAAAATCTTGGCCTAGCTTCATGACAGTCTAGACCACTAGACTAGTCTAGCCACTCACCAACCATTTGATCTGTGCAACAAAACCGGTACTTCACGAACATCACATAAACAACACTGACTCGGGAAACCATGTTCTACGCTGACGGTTTGTGCAAATTCCACACCATTTTTACGGCATAGTGGATTTCCAAATTATTTGCATGAAGCAGCCAAATTCAACTCATTCATTCACTCATTTGATGTTAGTAGAATTTAGAATTCCTCCCCTATGTTGCATAAAATGGGCATCTAAAAATATCTAATGCCTCTCTCGGGAGAAAAAAAAAGAATGGTTTTACTTCACTATATAATTTAGAATGCGTTCCAATTTAATTCTTATGGTAAATTCTGGATCCATGTATGAATCAACCTAAGAATTTGAATCAACTTACCTGTTGAGGCTTTCCAGTATTTCCTGGAGACACTAAGGGTGAAGTCCTGTACCTGCTGAACAAAGCTACTTCAAGGTTTGCCACTGGGGTCAGGAGAGCTAGGATTTCACCTTGGTCTTCAGACACAAAAAGTTAGTGAAAGTCTTAAAGCAATGCATTAAGAATAGCAAATCAACCCAATTAGAACTTTTACTTTTTCCATTGCCAGATGTGCATTGTTGTCTTTAATTTTTTCTTTTTTTTTTTTCTTTTTATAGAAAAAATAGAGTATTTAAGGAGTGACTGTGACAAATTGCAGTGATTTTTTTTTGTTGTGAAAGTTCTCTTTACATTCATTAAAGTTGATCTGAAATGCTATAAGACTAGATGCCTAGAAGCAAAATCTACAGGAAGACTATAAAGGCTTCTGGTCTCTCTATATTGCAGTCAGTCTAAAATAAAAAAAAGGCTGAAATGAAAGTCTCTTTTGCTAACTACTCCTTTTTCCCAACCAGATTTAAAACTGAAAAAATTAAAGGGGATATTAGGATGTGTAGAGCATCATTTCATTGTTTGGTTTGCACACAGAACAGAAGTTCACAATCAGTAAAAAATAGGAAGTTAGCAACTGTGCATGCACCAAAGAGTCCTAAGACAATTCTCAGGTTTTTATGTGTGTGGTTTTTTTGTGTGTTTTTTTGTTTTCTTTTTCACAGGCAATGCTAGTTCAAGAACCAACAGTCAAAGAATACTGGCACTTTAAGAGGAATGAAGTTTCCACTGTCATTTAAAACAAGCATTCAGGTAAAGCTAACAGGATCATGAAGCAGAAAGTAAAGTAATGCTAAAACAAATGCTAATAATTTAGTGTAATGTACAAAAATTACTTAAGTACTTCTTAAGAATAAGCATCAATTGTATTTACATAATTATACACTTTGTCTTTGTCTTCTTTTTCTTCTTTTTACCGTCTTTGCTCATCTTCTCTTTATGTTTTCTGATTTCTCGAACTAATGTATAGAAGGCATCATCGACACCCTGAAAAAGATAGACACACACATGTGAAGATCACATTAGCAGATTTCCACACCTGCTCAGGTACAGCCCGTTTTCATCTGACCCGAGCAGCTGCTCCCCAGGCTGGGCTGGCAGAGGCCTGCAGGCAATTCACTGCCCAGGGGCTGACAAACAGATACCCCATAGGTCCAATCCCATTACTAACGTGGTAAGAAAAGTCATTTACTGTACTGCCCTCTTCTCCATCTCAAGGAGGGCACATGCTGTTGCACCTCACACTTGGAAAGTATTGGTGCCACTTGTTTAGATTATCAGTATGTATATTATTGCCACAGAATAATGTTGTGAAGCATTAGCTGTGTTTATGCCTTAGTGTATTGGCAACTTTAAAAGATACATACAAATATTTGAAGCAAGAATTCAATACCAAAGATTAATCTACACATTCAGGTCATTTCTCAGGCACACTGATATAGTAATCACATCACAATTTTATGAGTCTTTACATATGCAAATCAATCAAATCAATCCCATGTTCCAATGATAAATTATTCATTGATAAATCATTCTATTCAACTTATATAGTTAAAGACATGTGAAACACATTATCTGTGGTGCTATATCATATACAGTCATTTAAAATCTCCATGGCTCCAGTAGTTAAGCTATAAACACAAAAGCTTACATTTCATTTTTTGGAGGGGTTATTATAGCTGACAAAAATTGACTCTAGTCAAGAGAGACCAGCATATCTGAAATCCTGATATGAACCATTATCAAGTACAGCATTACACAGTATACTCTGTAAGAACCTGTTCACATGAAACGGCTTGTTCTAGCATTTAGCTGTCAGGTTGCTCCAAATTCCCACCAAGTACCCATGTTCACAGTCAGCCTTTACATTTCATAGTTTGAATACTGACAGTTATAAAATTGTTAAGATCAAAAAAATTATCTTGATTCTTCCCTGCCTTACTCCTTATTATATCTTTTAGACAGCTGTATAATATTACTGTATGACCACAGCCAGCTGCACCACTGCAGCACTGGGGCTCGACACTAAGCCCTGCAGCTGGCAGGCAGCTTCCTACCTCTCCTCAGCTACAGAGTTTGCCTTCCAGCCGCCAACAAGTATGAACAGTCTCTGTATACTCCCGTCTGCTCACTTCAGTAAAAGAACTGAGAGCGAACTCTGAAAAAAGCACTACAGCAAAAAGCCAAAAACCACCTAATTCACCACTGAGTCAAACACCAAATGGTGATGAAACCTAATATGTGGAGTCCAAACAACACCGAGGTGTTAAACGGCTTTGCTTATAAAGCGGCGCTCCCAGTATCACCTAGGTAAAACCTTCACATTCAAGTTCATAAAACATTTACAAACTGACCTTCTGTCCTTGGCCGCCTGCATCCCGATACTAACAGCACACTTGCAAGGTCTTGTAATATACAAAATACACTTGCAAATATCATATTCTACATTTTAAAATATTATCGATCAATACAAAAATGGATGTAGCATGCCTAATGGAAGAGTAGCCTTGGTTCTGGAAAAGGTCATGTCCCCCATGAATCTTTTGGTAATTAGAAATGCTTGGTATTATTTTGCAGTGAGTTAGTGTGTTTTCCTTATAAACTTCAGCATTAATAAACAAAGTGAACATTTAGCGATGTTCATGTATGGAAACAATCTAGAAGTAGTGATGGTTCAAACTGTATCTGCTGCAGTTCTCATCTCAGACAGACAGCTAGGAGGAAGTGATCACAACAGACAAGAATGGTACAAGGAAAACCACTGCACGATATTCTTCTACAAGGCTGCTCATATTTCCTTACAAAACCACCTTTTAGCATTTCACACTCATCATTAATGTGTTAGAAAAATAATCATTACAGGGACAGTCACTGGCTTTCAGCAGTGTCTTCAAATAAGACACGCTAAAGGTAAACTGCAATTTGAGTCTTCAGATGAGCATCCCTCCCCCGCATTAAACTGGTTTTAAAATAAATACAGAGAAAATAACTCGTAGAAAGTAGTATCCAGAGGCTATTACAGGCCTTTAAACACATTACTTCACAATTAAGGCTGAAATCTTTATTCTCCCTAGTAAGGTGATGTCTTTTAAATACACCACATGTTGTAAGATACCAGGGAATTGACATAGCTTTTGTCCTTGCATTTACGCCTTTGTAGATCAAGCCTTTAAAATTATTAATTATGTATGTAGTAGTTTGGTCCTGCAACAATTTCTTTTACATTTAGGTAATGAATATACCACGGCATACAAAATTATATTTAGAATATTTGTTAATATAAACAGAAAAATTCCACTCTTCAGTCCATGGATTAAATGTGCAAAGTAAATAGTGGATACTCTGCTTACAGAAGGTCCCTAAAGGCATCAGTACTTTAAGATCTTTAAGGTGACTGACCTTTCTGGTTACTGCTTTCAGTAAGAAGGGGCTGCCTGCAGCTGACCTTCCTCCCTCGAACAACGGGGTTACTGTGCAAGCTCTGCAGCAAGCACAAGAGGCGCTGAATGAGCGCTTTAAATCCAGGCTCAAGATTCAAAACTCAAAATTCACTGTGCACGCTCAGAACTACCCCACATTGCCTGAGTACAGGTGCATTGGCAGAGCGTGCTCCTGGCACCTGATTTTCCAGAGGGCAACTGCAGAATGTGAACAGAAGAGAAAACGCAGAACTGTTCCCACAGAACCAGCCTGCTCCTAGCTACAGCTTTTCTCTGGAGCACCACCCTGGAACCGCGATCATCCAGAAGTCTGTGTGTCTGTAACATAGCTACAAGTATCCATGAGACTTGGCAACTAACCTGACTATCAATAAGATACCCCAAATTCATTAGGAGTTGGGAATTCCTAAAGACTCCAGGCCCAAACAGACCCTTAAACAAGTTTTAAATTATATATTTAAAAGACTTAGATATTTAATATTTTTAAATAAATATAATACGTATATGCACTTATCAGTCATGAGGAGAAATTACTTGGTATACCTCAGTAGCATTATAGAAAAAAAAAATCATGAAATTAAGATTCTAGAAGTCAGTGAACTTTAGTGATTCAGATATTTTAATATTAACCCAGCTCAATCTAAATTGCCTTGTCTAGATCTCAAATTTATGCCTTAGAGACACTTTTCATTATAGTACGCTTTCTACATAAAAACTTTAATGCTTTTGAGAAAGAGATTTTGAAGATTTTGCACTACATTTTACAAATTCCTTCTTGCTAGTTGGAAATAATGAACTGAGCAAAAGGTGTTATGTACTTTCTGCTTTACTGTGCAACAGGTAAAGGAATGAACCTTTTGGACAGAATCAGCAGTTAAAAGTAAGCAATCTGGGTAGGCAAAGTTTTCACTTACCTTGTACAAGATTAATATAACTAAGATGGTGTCCCATAAGCAGCAGGAAGATAAACAGAATATTCCAAGAGGAATACACAGGTAGCAAAACACTCTGAATCAAATTTGATTATCCTCAGACAAAAAGATAGAAACAAATACTGTCTGTCATTGCAAACTGTGTTATAATGGGTATTTTTGAAGTCTCAAATCCCAGCTGAAAGACTCAGATCATTAGGTGCTGCTCTCCTTAGCTTATCTATATATATCAGACTGAAATAACACAAGTCTTCTTACTGAATGGAAAGTAATACAGAGGCACACTTTTAAATGCCAGCTTTCTTATCCCACTAGAATCACTACTGAACTACAGCTGTACCACAGTAATTTTGGAATATGCTTTCTCCAGCTTAACCTCCTAAACACAAAGTTGCTGAAAGGACTATCAATACTAATTCACTTGAGTATAAAGACAAATGCTTCCTCCCCTAAGCAGATACTCTTGAAATTCTAGAGTTTTATATCCAAGACTATTTTCTAAATAGGGTATGGGATAAAGAAAAACACAAACCAACAAAAAAAAAAAAACAACCAACGATATCCACTGTTCACAAGAGAAATTTCCTCAGCTGGAAAAAAAACAAACCTACCAATCAAAAAAAAGCCCAAACTATACTTCTTTTGGACACAGGCAGAAAAAAAGTAGGAAGCTGATAGAAAGCGTATGGTCGCTCAGCTATCATAAAGAATCTTAAAAACTGAAGAGATGCTTCCACTGAAAAAAAAAAAAATAATGAAAGCCACAATTCCCACCATCCCATTCTCCTTGTCCCAAGAAAGTCCAGAGAGAGGAAAAGCTGACATAATTCGAGATCTTTAAAGTCCTAGTATACAAAAAGAAATTCCACTTTGAGGTATGGCTATGTTAGTAAGACAGGGCAAAGGTGGTTTTCAGAAGGCTACGTGAAGGAGGCTTAAGCAACTTAATTCATATTGGCCTATCAAAAGTAATCTTGCCAGACTGCTGTTAGTTGGTTTTTGATAACTAGGAAAGAATAAAACAAGGTATTTTGATGGCAACAATTGCACTGATATTTGGATGCAAGACTGCAGAGGGTAACTGAAGTTTCCAGTTTCCTGCAAAGGAAACCTTTGATACAAATAGTATCACAAAGTGTATCTATTTTAATCACAGTTTCTTCTTCCCTCTCCTCCTCCTCCCTTTATTCTTTCAGGAATGTACTGGAAAACACCCAATTTTGTGACAATTTGCCTATTGTTTTTTGTTGTTGGGTTGTTGGGGTTTGTTGTTTTGTTGGGGTTTTTTTGGGGGGAGGGGGGTGTTGATGGTGGTGTTGGTTTGAGGGATAGGGGTTCCTCTCTCCAGTTTTTCTTCACTGTTGCTTCTCCTTCACCTTTGTAAAGGGCTCCCAAAACTGAAACCCTACCATTTTGTCCAGATCTGGATCACTCACGGCTTTGTAGTTGACAAAGAGAAAACTAATGTATTTCTGGAAATTCTAAAAGTGCTTTTCTTAAGCTGGGGCAAAACAAGGGGAAAATGGCACAGCACAAGGTAGGACCTGAGAATTAAGAAATCCTGAATGCCAGCTGCTAGCCAGATACTGTTTTGCTGGATTAGGAAACTCCCGTT